GAAGAGTTTCTTGCTTCTTAAAAACAAGTGCACGCGTATTTAGAACCTTGTCGCCGTCAATTTCTCATCCGGCGGGCGGCTAGTTTCTTCGCGCCTTATCGAGCGAACATTTTGGTACTGTCGATGCATATTCTGATAAACGCGCCGTTAGAACTCGCCGCTTTCGGAGAACAGAATTGATAACTATTTGGAAACGATTGGAAACGATGTTACATTCACAAGCGAGGAAGATAAAAAGCAGTTTATATCAGAGTTATGCGGGCTCTTGCTCGCGAAATTCATCAGCTGAAATTTTGATCATTTCTTGCAGCTGGAATTTTGAAATTTGATGCGCTTTCTAAGAGACAGAAATTGAATTTTTTTACAGACAGAAATTTCAAATAATCAAGCTGCTTTATTTGCTGACACGTCGATTAATCAAAGAATTGACATTGACGAAAACGTTAAAATGTCTAGTAGACGGATAGAACGTGTGAACGCGAAGACGCAAGCGATTAGAAAGTAGAAACACGTGATCGGCGGCATCTGGACCCTGCTGCCCGCGAAAATCGCGCAAGGTCTCCAACGGAAACCAAAAAACACTAATTTACTCACTTTCTCCGAAAACGCTTTTAGATTACTTCGAACCGAACTAAAGAAGATTTCGTTTGACCCTGTTAGGTTTTTTAGAATCTTCTATCTTCGACCTCGTTTTTATTTTTGATCCAGATTTTTGGCAAAAAGTTCAACCAGAAAACATGCACAAATGTTTAATTGAATAATGCTTTCTGATAGGTCAAAAACTGGTAAAAAAGCGCCCTCTTCCGGCAAAATTGTCATTTTTTCGAAAAAAGAAGTGTTCAAAAAGTGCTCATTTTTGTCATTGAAAGTGTCAAAAATTGTTTAGAAAAAGAAAAGGGCCACTGCTTTGCGCCCTTCAAGGCTTGCTAACGTGGCGGATACTCATGATTATGAATTATGCGAGCGCGTTATTGCGTAAAAGGGAAACGTAAGTGTCTCCGTGCCGTTTCCCAGAAAAGCAGAATTGCTCATTCTTCACCGAGTACGTTCCATTTTCAAGTCCACTTGCTTCGTTATGAAGAACAAGAAGGACAATTGAAAATGATTGCCAATTGGTCGAAGAATGAGCTTTCATGAATAACCGCGCGGTTCAAAGAAGACATGAAGATTTATTAGAAAAATTTTCAAATTTTCCAAAAAGAAAACTCTCTTTTTTCGAGCAAATATTGAATAAGAAGAATACATCAATTGAATTCGATGCCATAACAAAATAATTTCCGCCAATTTCAATTTCTTAATTCTCGTGAATTACCGCTCACAAAACGGATTCGGAAGGTTTACTCTCGGAAAGATCATCTACGCCGAGTCGGAGACGTAGATCGGCAGCGTTTTTTCCGGCGTTTTCGCTCGCTAAAGTGCTTGTTTCTAAAAAGCAGCGAAGTAAGCGATAAGCGATAAGGGCGCTAATTTTTGAGAGCGGAGTAGATTTATGTATATCCGAAGAAAATCATCGAAGGGCGCAATTAGGGAGGCGATGCTTCCGAGAATTTTATCGCGATTACGGGTAACTTGCTTGGTTTAACCATCATTTCAAAAGAATTGGTCGAAAGATGGCGCTTTTATTTTTGTTTCAGCCAATCAGAAGCCTGAGTTCATAAACCAAGCCAATCAGAAGCAAGAATTCATAAAGCCAGCCAATCAGAAGCTAGGAATCATAAAGCCGGCGAATCAAAAGCTTGGATTCAGAAAACCGGCCAATCAGAAGCCTGGATTCCTTTCCAGGAGAAAAACGAGAGAAATGAACCTTTTCTGCGGTGGCAAGAAAAAATCACCGAGTAGTTGTTTTCCTCCTCTAACGAGTTTGTAATGGCACTTTTCAAATCCTAGTAAAAGCTCTCAAGTCTCAACAACTGTGGTTGGCAACAGCTAATTTGATGAGCCTCAGAAGCTATCAATTAGAATTTTCGTTTTCTAAGCACCGTCTTTTTCGACCTCTAAGTGTGAGAGTTTCTAAAAAAACGGAGTTTTGCAAAAAGCGATGTTCAAACAAAAGCTTAGGGGGATGCTCTTTCTAAATGTTCACAACTAATCTCTCGATTTGGCGGATGAGCCAGGGCGGATCAATCGACAGATTGTCCTATAATCTCTTAGTCCCGCGGACAGGTGCCTAGCTGATCATTTATTATACCACGTGGCGAGACTTTTTTGTAATTTACCGTGAACTGATAACTTTTTCCGCGGAGCTTTTATCGAAATAGAAGAGGATTACAGTCAGGTCTTGCAAATGCGCGGTTTTATTTTTCGGGATTTTCGCCAAAAACCACGTAATTGCAAGCCGTCAATTTTTTTTGAAAATGGGACAATTTTATTGACTTTTTTCGCCTCTTTTCTTTTTACAATCAAAAAAAGGATTTTAGGAAAATGCAAAAATTTTCGGGATTTTCGCCAAAAACCGCGCAATCGCAGTTCGCGCAATTGCAAGACCTGACTGTACTGTATCTATCTATTCTAGAGACAAATTCAAAGTCTGCTGGAAAATCGGGGTGGCGTCAGAAACCGACAAAAAATTTTGACAAATTTTGCGTGGGCGGCTACTCGGCTGCTGATTCGCCGGTTTTATGAATCCAGGCTTCTGATTGGCTGAAAATTTCTGAGAAAAATTTGTCGAAATCTCTACTGAGTTTTTTGATCGGGGATGAGAAACGAATCCGCTGGCTAGAGATTTGAATCTGACCGCATCTGAAAATAATTCGTTCGTAACGCGAAAACTCAAGGGAAAACAGAAATCCCCCCGAATCGAACCGTGTGGTCAAGCCACCGCCCTGACCAGAAGAAAAAACAGCTTTCACGGGAACGAATCGTTTCTTTTGATAAAGGAAATGGAACCTGGACGAAAGGGGGAAGATAGCGGCGATTTTGGAATTTCGTGAAACTTTGATCGGCATTTTAAAAAGAACGTTTATCGCGGAAATCCAAATTTTTTTCCCATCTTCGAGCAATTACAGTCGTTTTGAGTCAAATTCATGAAGAAGTGTCTTTTTATGAGAAAGATTCCAGAAGATGGCGCTTTTGTCCGCCTTCGACCAATCAGAAGGCCGAGTTCAAAAGGAAGGTCTTTCTTTGCTCATTTTTTTTCTTTGACTTGTAAATTTCTGGAGTATTAGAAATTTCCGCGAAGAGTGATTTTCGCGCGACGTCACTTTTCTTGTGCTGGCGAAATAAGAGTGTACGTGTTCGAAATTGCGTTAGCACTTTGTCCTCTTGTCTCGTTCCATTTTAGTGGTGTTGGCCGCAACACACTGCTCTCACGAGTACTCTAATGCTAAATACTTTCGTTCAAACATTTACACTGATTTTGTTAGCTAAGACATTCTCACGGCGAAAAACATTGATTCTAGTCGCCAAATTCAATAATCTTACTAAAGATTTCTTCGTTAAAACGGGCGCCTTCTGCATTGAAATGTTCAGATAATCTTAAATTAACTTGTTCGTGTTCAAAATTATGTCCGGATTTCCCTTTTTCCGGTACTTCAATATTTCTGACTCGAATTTTCCGTAACGGCGTGTAAGAACTGATACGCATCATCAGAGCACGTTGAAATTCTCCGTAATTCGGCGAATTCAAGTAACACTGCGAATAATTGCAAGTTGAAGCGGCTGTTTGCGAATATTTGCGTTTTTTGATAATTTCGGGCTTTTAGTCCTTTAGGCGCTAATCAGACTTGTGCTTTCTGAGAGCCGCTTACCTGGACGGCGGTTAAAGTGGCGGATATCTCGAGGACGCTGCATAATAAGAACTAAAGAAGACAAAAAAATTTAAGGGAGTAGACGTCGTTATTCGCGATTTTTTTTTTATTATTAGTTTCGCGCTTCAGATTTTTGACTGGCTAATTTTCGCTAAAATTCAAATTCATACAAAGCCAAAATTTCGGCTCAAAATCGAGAAGCCGCTTGCGGCTACGAGTAAGGTAAGTATTAAGCCGCGCGAACCGCGGCTTTTCCGTCTATTTTTTGCTGGAAACCACAAGCTGCTTCTCGATTTTGAGCCGAAATTCTTCAATTGTATGAGTCAGTATTCTAGCGAAAATTAACAAGTGAAAAATCAGAGTCGCGGTATCTATCGAAAAAAGGTTTATGACCGGTTTCGGATAAGTTCATCTAAAAATGACTGGTAGTTTGGGATTGATGTGATTACAGGTGCATATTTCATGAGCATTTGGGCTAATCCTTCTGGATGGGTTTGCTCAAGTGCAGCTCGGAGCCATTTGAGCTGATGGATTCGAGCCGAAAGCCTCAGAACACGTTCCTGCCCTGGCCCCTGTCTTCCGCGCTCCAGAAAGGAAAGAGCGTTCTAATGATGCCAACTGCGAGATTCTTGAGGTTTCTTAAAATCCAAATCTCGCAGCGCCGGGTCACCATTCCAAATTCCAATCGCGCCAGATGGCCAGAACTCGTCACAAACGACGCGGCAAAGTGAGCGGACGCCACGAGAACCCGGGTTAGAAGGTTCACTCAGCTCAAAATTTTCTTTTTTCAAATCGATTACTCATTTTTCCATCATTTTGCTTTTTCATTATTTATTAATTTCCCCGCCCAAAAGCCGCTTCGATCTAATCGCTAACTAAGCAACCTCAACCCTTCGAATTTTCTCACCCGCTTCGACCACGTGATCTCTTCAGGTATTCCCCACCCTGGTCCCCCATTTCTCGTCCCCGCAAGACACCCGTGCGGCCAATTAGCCTGCGCAAGAAGCCTTTCATAATTAATTCCATCATTACCACTTTTGATGATTGAATAATTCTCGCTTTCTTTCTCGAGCGGAATTTCGTGTAATCGCGTGAAAAATTCGCCACTGCTTCTTTTTTCTCAGGAAAAGGGTGCGCCAAGTGGGCAGAAGGACGCGAAGGGACGGATTTTTGGATTGCAACGTTTTTTATCGCTTTTCCGCGAAAAAAAATTGTAAATTGAAAATTTTAAAACTGGCTTTATTAGTCGATTTTTTAGTCGAAAGAATAATGCAATCGCAGTTTTTGTAGAGGCAGGATGAATTGATGAATTCGCAGGACGAGAATGTATTTGCAGATAAAGTAGCTAAAACTTGTGTTGAGAAAACAACTTGCGCAACCAAATTAAAAAACGAAAGAACTGATAGAGCGCATAAGCCGAAGCAGGAGAAACTTACCTGATGATAGTCTGAACTTGTACCCAATCAGTCCAATCTACCATCGTCTCGGAGAAACCCATTTTTCGGTATAAATTCAGTGCTTTTCAATGGCTTCAAAAACATGTCAAATTAATTATCGAAAAGAAAAAAAAATTTGACCGGAAGATGGCGCTTTTTCAAATTGACAGCCAATCAAAAACCTGTTTTTAGTGTGCTCGAAATCGAGTGAGAAAATACTTACTCTTTAGTTTTTCGACCAATAAGAATATTTCATTGGCTTTTGACTCAAAATCGAGCTTCAAGAAAAAATGTTTTGATTGGCTGGGAGTTTAAAAAAGCGCCATCTTTCGGCAGTTTTAAAAAAAATATCAAAATAACACTTATATAAGCTCTCAAGGCTTAAAATAACAGCAAAGGGTTGAAAAGTGATTATTTCTTTTTCAAACATTTATTCTGCTAAATATAAGCCGGGCCGCTAAATGAAAATCCTTTTTCGCGAAAGTGATTCTTAAAATATCATTAGCTACTATTTTTGGCAAATCTATTTTCTCATAATAGAGCTGCCGAAAAGGTGCAATTTCATTGAGCGATGATGCTCTTTTCAATTCCTTCCGGGAAGTGGTTTTCAACCGCGAATTGTAGACCATTAGAGTTGAGACTCTTGAGAGCCGTTTCCTGCTTCTTGCATACACGTGGTTGACAGGTACACCCCGCGATCGGAACAAGAGGATAATGAAAAGACATGTTTTAGCAGCAACCTGCCAAGCCCTCTTCTTCGGTAACCAGGGCAAACACTGAATTTTCGCTTTGAAATTTCAAAAAAAAGGAGAAACCTGAAAGAAAGGATCTCATTGAACAGGCTACCATCTATAAATTTAGGTCTTATCGCGATGAAAGCACAAATCTCCTTGTTGGCACTTGTTGAGTCCTCCACGACAAAAAACCTTCCTGGATAGCTTTTGATTATACTCCGCATGTCATCGCGAATTTGAATCTGGTCTTTGCCCAACTTCGCTGAGATTTTAACCAAAACGTAATACAGGAACAATGACAGTAGTGTTCCAATCAATTTGCAGCCACAGACAAAGGGGATCACGAATCTGAACAGTTACAGTAAGAAATCGATTATTCGAAAAGAAAATTGATAGATGTCTAGGGTTTTGATTGGCTTACAAAGCAAACACCGGCTTTTGATTGGCTATAACGGTTTGTTGACTAAATATTTTCCTCAACTTACCCTGTTATAACGAAAATGCTTCTGACTGACAGTAGCTTCGTGAAATACTGAATCGATTCTCTTTTGTGATCATTCAAAATTCCATCTTTCCAGTAGCCATAAACCTCTTCTTCCTCCTCTTCTCTAATAAGTCTTCAATTATCAGGTCAAAACTTTGCAAACTTCGAAAATAATAAGCTCAATTTTGGTGACCAGTTTTTGACCTCTTTTCCTGATTTTGAAATCCATTTTGAGAAGGTGGTCCTTTGATTTTGGATTAAGTTTTCTTGGGAATTTCGCGAGGCGCAGAGCAGAGCAAACATTTTGGTCTCGTTTTGCGTAACAGATTTATCTTAGCACTTGGTAATTGACGAGCGGGTGCCAATTTACGATCTAGAATATTTATTGAGTGACATTAGAAGCTCACAACTCATCTTTTAGATAACGAGTCGTTCAAATTTTTGTCAATATTTAAGTAAGATAGTAGTGAGATACCAAAAACAAACATAAAATTCGTTTGCGATTCTTCAGAAACACAAAATCGTGAAAGAGAAAAATGTCAGATTGGGGATCGGAAATAGTTAAAGTCGTCGCGAATGTCAACTTGTACGACAGGGATAAGCAGCAATGGATCGTCATGGATTCATGTCGGGAAAACAACGTTTTTATTTTCTTAAATGCGGAGAAACAGGAGTACCGAATTGTTGGCAGAAACAGCAGCACGTGTGAGATCACGGTCGATTATGTCATCGAAGAAAACCTGCTCTACAATGAAGCAACTCCAAAATTTCATCAATGGAAAGCAAACGAAGAAATGTAAGCTGTGCCTTCAATCGCGAATCAGATTTCTTAAATTACTTGTAGATATGGGCTCCACTTTAAAAGCGAGAAATACGCAAAGGACTTCGCTCAAAAATTGTCTGTAGCAGTAAAAAGAGTAAAAGGCGAATTACCGTGGCCAGAAAAGAACCAGTTGCACATTTTGTCAGGAGAACTATCCGAAGAAATCACCAGAATTCGTAAATTGAAAGACAATAATGAAAGCCTTGCAAGTGCTGAAAAGAATCTTCAACAAAAGAAAGCAGAACTTGACAAAAATTCAAAAGAAATCAAAACACTTAGCGATAATCTCGATAAAGCCCGGAAATCAGAGACCGACTTGCTAAGAGCGATAAATAATCTTGAATTGACTGTCAAAAAATTAAAAGCAATCAAACAGACGCTCGGTAAAACTGGTATGAATGTTATCTCTTTTCCAATCGTATAAGTTATACCGTATAACTTATACGGTATAACAATTCAATTCTTAGAGGAGAAAACTCCAGCCAACAGTGATGATGGGCTATCCTGTGGAGTTTGCTTCGAAAAATATGGCGAGGAACATCAACAAGCCTGCATCGTGACCTGTTTTCATTCATTTTGCATTTCTTGTTTGACCTCTTTGAACCCAAAAACCTGTCCAAAATGTCGAAAAGGCTTTACAGATTCTCAGATCAAAAAAATATTCTGATTCTTTCCTTCCAAAAAGCTTCAAATTCTTAATTCCGCAGTTTCTGCTCTCTTCGTGAATATACATTAATCCGTCTAATAAAATTTCTCGCGTATCCCTAGCGCAATATTTCCAAAATCTGAGACCGTGATTCTCGATAATTTAGACGGCACGCTCTTAAGGTGAATAAATCGCTCCAAAAGTGGAGCTCAACGAGCTGCAAAAGCTGTCACGTGCGAGCTCCTAATAATATTTTGTGGAAAAGCAGTTCTATTCTGGAATAAGCTTAATTTTTTTGTTTTCCTTAATTTTAATTGTTACCTTTATTAAATTTATAAAACTCAATTAACAGATCTGTTTTTCTTATAATTCTAGACAAAAGAGAACAAACTAATGTTAAAAGAGGGAAGCCCTTAAAAAAGCAGCTTAAACCCCGTTTTTTGCGAGATTTTTACCTTTTTAAAACCTTTCGTCTTCAGAAAACCTCATTTTCTTTACTCCTCTTAACTTTTTCTGTGAAAAGATTAAGGCACAGTGCCCCAGGCGCCGCTTAAAATTGATCTTTGCTTTTCATCAAAAATGCATTTTCTTTCCCGCGCGAGAAAAAAACAAATCAGCCGCTTTCTCCAGTATTGTTTAATAAATTCAGTTTTGCATAATTAAGGTCTTTTTCGAAGAAGAGAGATTTTTGTTTAGCCGCATTTGCGAATAACTGCGCATTGCTTCTGTGTTCTAATGGAACACGCGTCTTATAACTTCTAAAGACGTTTTTCTAGAGCGGTAATTTTCGAAAGACACGGTTTTTTGAAGCATAATTTTCAGCTAAAACACGTTTCTCTGGCGCGAAATGAGAACTTATTAGTAACTTTGAGCCGCGCTAAGAACTATAAATTTGCCTTTTTCAGTGTTTTTTGAAAGCGACTTTCTTTAAAAAATAGCGAGTCAAAAGATTTTCTCCAGCTTTGGAAGTCAACGTGACATTCTAATTTCCCGATCAATATCGAGCTTTTCCGAGCTTTTACGCAACAAGCCTCGCTCCTCTAAGATAAAAAAATGACCACTCCTTTTTGATTTTCTTGATTGTGGATTATGTTGATAAAGCTGTTTCTACATTAAAAACTGCTTTGGTTTCAAACTGATTCTGCCTTCAAAACAAATTCGCAGTGACGAGGCTCGAAAATTGAAAATTGAGAGAGCGGAATTGATTTGGTCAATTCGTCGCCGACTAAAATCATTACTGTAATAAATCAGATCTACTCTCAAGGCAAAATGAACATGATCAGCCGGCGGATACACGTATATTTTCTCATGTTTGTTTGAAAATAAAAATAGGAAGATGCTGAGAACTAGGTTTTTCGAAAAAAAATATCCTCGTGACACCCTTAATCTTATCATTAATAGAATAAGAGCAGTTTTCCTATTGCTAACAGCTTTTTTACGAATTTATTGAAATATGAAAAGCAAGAACAAGATATTTTGTATAAAATTTAGCTTAGTGACACCCTTAATCGTATAATTAATAAATAAGAGCAGTTCTCCTATTTTTTGCCAACAGCGTTTTTCTACCATTTCTTTCAGAAATATGAAAAGTAACCTTCTAAAAGAAAAACTCTTCGCTTCCGGGGCTCACGTGGCCACCAGCTGGGTTCATCACTGATTCACCAAAAGCAAATCGGACAAGTGTCGGACATTCTAGCGATAAGGTTCTTGTGCGATAAGTTTTCTGCCAATCCTGAAAACCTGATTCGAGGAGGCTTTTATCGCGACAAAATCGGAAAACAGACGAAAATAAATGCTTAGAAATCAATCTTTCCTAGCTCGTGACACCCTTAAAACTGAGTCAGCAAATGGTAAGTAAACAGAAAAGGGTGCATATTGAAGTAAATCAGATTCGTTGCGTTCAATTCGCGGCGCTTATGTTTCTGGCTTTGAAGACTATAATTTCGCGTTTTCGATTCCCTCTTTCGAAAACATCTGATAAGATTAGATCCCCCGCTGAGCTACTTGAGCACGTTTTGCCTCCGCGAGCGATCATTGTTCAATTTTTCACGCTTCGATTTTTGACCCGATATTTTGAGTTGTAAAAAACTGGAGCGGTACTTGAATTTTTCAGAACGCGTCATTTACATCTGACGAGCGTTGGAGAAGTAAAATGGTAGAAAACACGCGCCAGGAACATATTCGATTTCGGATGTTCCATCCGGCTTCTGATTGAATCAAATCCGGTTTCGAGTGATGAGCTGGAAAGAGGAGATTCAATTTGCGGATCTGCTCTGACGAAATCACCAGTTCAAAAACGTGATTTTTAAGATATTTATTGGCGGATCAAAGTAATTTGTAGATAAAATCAGGACATTTTTTATGTCATATTAAAGGTAGATTTTGATAATGTCAGAAGTCTGAAAGTGACCTCTGCAAGAAGGACACCATTGTGGAAGCATTGACTTTAAACAACGGTAGCAGAATGAATGACCACATCGAGTTATCACAGCTCTTTCAGTTTCGTGTCCATACTCTTCGAAGCAAATCGTGCAATTTGTAAGTTGTTCTAATTTTCTCTTCAGCTCGCAATTTTCTTTTTTGAGTTTTCTGACTTCCTTTTTCAGTTTTTTGTTTTCAGTAGCATATTCAGCCTGAGAGGAATTCACGCGATCAAAAATAGGTTCAATAGCATTTGTATTCGGAGGCAAGCATTGAGACTCAGCGATTTTGGTTAGGAGTATCTGGATTTGGGTTTTCATTTTATAATTTGAAAACTATCTGCAGATAGTTTGCTCGCCTGTATCTGGCTTTTTCTCTTTGTAAGAACCGACGCTAGAAAATGATAAATCGTCAAAATTTTTAGGAGGTGGTAGGTCCGACATATTTTTTGATCTTTTCTGCAATTGAATTCAACTCGTAGAATAAAAGGGAAAGAGACAATTTTCCGTTAATATTCAGCAGTACAAATAGAGCAGTCAAACAAGAGACTCATTTTACAACTGATACACTTCCTTGCGAAAAGTCAGCGAAAAAGTAATAAAACTTTAAATTATAGTCTGTCCTCCATTACGATTAATTCGCTCAAGTTAAAGAATAAGCATGAAATGAATCGCGCAGAAGAATCGTTTCCCCACACGTATAGCATCAGCTTTGAAAACCGTTGCCGCCGCAATGCTAACTTAATTCTCCACGTTTTCTAACTCCCGCTTCTCCAAAGGCGCCAATCGAAAAATTTGCAAAAACATCAATTCAAAAACCCAATAAATCTTAAAAAACCACTCTTTGAAAAAACAAGCATCCAACTCATCAAAGCCGACAATTATTTTAATCCTTCAAGACGTTTTTCCAAAAAGCTCAATTTTCAAATTCTAGAGCTTTTTCAGAAAGCGACGGTTTCTTAACCCATGTCGGTCTTTTTACCAATTATTTGGCAAAAAAAAATTTTTTTTATAAAAAATCTTCAAATTTTAAAGATTCTAGCGCCTAAATTTTTAAAACGACACAAAAATCATGTTCCTACGTCATTACCATCCCCCTTTTCCTCCAAATTTAAATAAAAATTACATCGAAGAAACATATGCAAATTTTCGCCAAGAGCGCGCATTTTGACAGACTTGCGTTTAAAATTCGCGAATTAGGAAATTGGAATTGACGAAATTGACGAAAAATGTACGTTTACGCGAAATCTTGCGCAGCTGCGAATCAAGGGCCACCTCATTCGTAAAATAAATTCCTGGAAAAAACTTGAAGAGAGAAAATCGGATTAAAATCGTATATTTTAATAAAACATTGTTCAATAGAACATCGATCTTTGGGCTGAGCTAGCTCAGACAAAAATGAGCTAGCTCAGCTCAAGATGAGTCAGCTCAGAAATGATTGAGCCAGCTCAGCTCAATATTGACTCATTGAAACGTTTTGTTTCCCATTTCGTTAGTTATACGTTATGAACGTAAATACTACGTGTCTCTGAATTCAAATCCAACTGGCCAAAATGCACGATTCTCCAAAAATCTGGGCGATGCATTAGCTCCGATCCGTTATGCAAAGTCTCAAAGTCCGTTTGTTTACTCAAGCCATAATTGCTTTGAACAATCCACCATTTGCCTAAGACTCTCAAGTTGAGAGTCTCAACAGGGATAACGTTACTCACTAAAACCGCAATTCTAGTGTTTGTTTTATCAATCGGTCGGCAAGGGGGTTATAAATGAACATGACAAAAATCGTCATATATGGCGGAAAAATGCTTTTTGAGTCGACTGGCTTCTTTAGTAAAGCGGATATCCCCCGCGCTGTAAATATTCTGGCGCTTTGGAACTGCGAATTCCGCCGCGTTTACAAAACTTGTGCATATTTTATAAATCGTCAAAAGCGACCGAAAGTGGTTTCGTATACATGATACGCAACCTTATCTTATCAAGAAAGGCGACCACGTTCACGCCAGTAACGGATTTTCGATTATCCCCAGCGCTAGAATCGAAGACTGGGCCTTCGAAAGAAGATGAGTTACGTTTACGAGTTTCGTTCTGAAAATTTCGCTGTACGTGTTTATTCTTGTTTAATGAGTCGCCGATCGGATTCGCGAGTTTTTGGAGTTTCGCGTCGAAAGAGCCAATTTAGTGGAGCACTAAGCACCACCATCAGCGCACCACGATCCCTGATCGTCAATATCAAAACACCGAATTTCCAACAAATACAACATTTTTCACGATTTTCCGACGCGTTTCCCAAAAAAATGAATCATCATCTTTTCAAATTGAAAAAAACAGCAGTTTTTTGAAAAAATTGTCAAATTTAAA